ATGGGTGGGAAGCTGGATCACCACTGCCGGCACATCAAACAGTTGCAAGGACAAAGGCAACTGAGATGGAGAAGGGCAGGCTGGCAGTAATGTGATTGGACCAGCCTGCATTCTGTTCCTGTTCCTGCAGCTGTGCTTAGCACTCACCCCCACCCCATCAGCTTTAGGGCCCAAATATGCTAGGTATGCCATTGCCATATGGAAAATATGAATTATTTGCCAATTGTCCTCCAGAAGGAAATTAAAAATGAAATGTACTCTCAGAGAAATGCTGACATTTCACTAAGCAAACTGATAAATCTGTTTGCATGGGCAAGGTCCTGGATGTGTGTGTGGAGCATGCAACTATTACATTAAGATTCCATTCTTCAAGTGGAATTGGTGACCAATGTACTCTACTGTTTTGTTATAGAACAAGGGTCTTCAAACTTGGCAAGTTTAAGACTTGTGGACTTCAACTCCCAGAATTCCTGAGCTAACATGACTGTAGATGGAATTCTGGGAGTTGAAGTCCACAAGTCTTAAAGCTGTCAAGTTTGAAAACCCCTGCAATAGAAGATACCAGGATTGGCACTGCTGGGGCACAACAGTAGCGCCAATCCTGACTAGACCTTTCAAGTTCTAGACCTATTGGACAAGGGGTGTTCAGAGGCTCTACCCAGAAGGCTTCTTGAAGGCTCGTTCTATAAAAGTTGCAGTAGAGACTGGGGATTTGTTTTTTGTTTTGTATTTCATAATGCAAAATAGAAGATCAATCAGTATATGACTTAGGGTTACTTCCTCCATTCAGATGCTTCTTATATGTGTTCACACTTTATATGGGTTTATATATGGGTTCACACTTATCAACATTCTCAGTATTACTGGTTGTAAATTATGATAGTTGAGAGTAAGGGAACAGAAAGGGCTGGGAAAAGTCCTTTATTGCAACCTGTTCAGCTTGTGTCCACTAGTAATGATTGGGACAGGAGTGATGGTAGGTGGAAATATATTACCGAAATTATTAACTGTGAAATGCTCAGAATACTATTCTGAACTGGACAATTTGAACTCATATTTTATTAAAAGGGTCTGTCTCTTTTAACATATACATAAAGTATATACAAGATAAACAGCTCCATTTAACATCTGTTTTTGCCTAACTATAAAAAGCATTTGACTTTTTACCCTCTCTCCTTTCACTAGCAACCATCATTTGTTCTGTGGGCCAGATGAAATACGATTCGCCTCCCCCTCCACAGCAACCAGATGCTGTGTGCTTTAATTTTGTACCAGGCAGGTGTTCCCCCACCTGGGAAATGTGGAGATTTGCCATCTAGCAGAGTTTATGGTTTTTGATGGAAATGCGAGGGCGTTAAATGTTATTTGATGAAGAGTTGCCTTTATCCCTAGTGGGCCCCCATACGCATAGCATATGATCAGTTAAGCAGCTGTTCTGTATTTGAGTTGAAGAGCTATAAGTGGTTGGCCTTTTCAAAACATAAGCAACTGCCTGCTACTATGGTGATGGATTTCAACAGTAAACTCCTGTTTTTAAAGATGTCCAAACATAATAATCCCACTGGACTCATGTTCAGGTGGTCCTGAAGAGTGAACGAACTTGGTTACTATGCCCACAGCAGGCTTGTTTACTGAAGAGTTTTTTTTTTACTGACACGATCCAGGTTTCTGGGAAGATGCTGTACTTCAGGGACAATTTTATGTTATTTCAAAACAGTTGCAAGCACAGAGCAGATTTCAGGTCAATTGCACATACTCTTTAAGTCACTTAAAGGAGTAAGTAGCACAGAGCCAGATTTTATCTGGTACTTGAAGATACACATTCTACCATTCCAGCCTAGAGTTTGAGCCACAAGGACACCCTCAAGTGAGGACCCTGTGCTAATCTAAAACTGCTCTGAATTGGATCCCATAAAATTTATGGAATTGATTTCTTTTGCAAATAATCTTCAAACTGCCTCTAAAAGACGGATTTTGGGCATGATGGAAGCCCAAAAGGCTCACCCAGATTTTTGAGTGGCAACTCCCCCCAAGCAAGCATAACATAAGGGGCAAGAATTCTTATCCTGGCTTAGTGAAGAGGAGAAAAATCCTGATATGTTATGTGACACAGCTGCGATGATGTGAGTTTGATACCCATGGCCTAAGGGAATGGTCTTTTTAAAATTGACAATTGCGGCTAAGTCTCATAGAATATTGGGAGGTGGGATATGAACAAGCAAAAATGGGTGTAACCTACTTTTTAAAATTAAAATAAACCCTAAAAAGAAAATTGCTGTCAAAACACGAAAAGGCATCCAAACATTTGCTGAAATAAAGGCTGCACTCCACTATCAAATGTTCATCCTTCGTGTATCAGTTGCCATATTACACAATCATATACCTTCAATGCTTTCTTCCTCCATCCTTCCATCTCTGCAGCTATCTTCAATCAGTGTTGACTTTCCCAGGTTCTCTCCATCATGTCAGGCTGACCCTCAAATGCCCACTTTCTTTGCTGGATGCTATTGGTTTTCTGCAGCTCTCCCCCAGCCTAGTGCTCCTCCTTTCCTTAGCAACCTCTGATTCTCCTCTCAGATGTGTCTAGTGCTCTCTTGACTTCCTTTCTGCCATTCCCATGCTTCTCCCTTCACTAGGATCTGGTATTTGGATCCATCCATTTCTTATTCCCTTCCCCCCCACTTCAGCCTGCTTTTTTCTCATGTTATGTAATTGCATAATAATAATGTGCAGGCCTTCCTATTTATTTTTTTGCAATTCACACAACGAACAAAGGTTATACTTGCCAGAAGCCAGCACTTCATTTGGAATTGCTTTCTGCCCATTAAAGTGATGGGCATCATGCTGCCTATTGCTGAATTAGAGCAACAATCTGAACTGATTCAGATAGGTTAGTGGAAACAATATTTTATTACAAAGTATTAATGATTCTTTGAATTAAAATGTTTAGATAGCACATACTTCAATAGATACTTTTCTAACCATGCTCCCTTTAACTTTTTTTTTTCCACTTTCCATGAGAATATGTGTTCTGCTACTAAATGACAGACAATAGCCGGTGTGAACCTGTGCATCCCTGTAAAATTAATGACATACACCAGTCACTGATCTGGTTTCTTTGAGCTGTCCTTTAGCTTAAAATAACTTGCAAGACAAAATGAATCCACTAAAAGATATGTTCTTTTATTTATTTATTTTTTAGAAAAATGTACATCAAAGAGTTCTTTGTTATGATTTTTAGATAAGAAGCAAGAGAAGTCTTTACATAATACAAAAGAATGCTTTTAACTCGAGGTCCTATTACAGTTTTCTTTTGCTAAACACCTTACATTTAGAATCACAATTCTGAGTTATAAAACAGATATATTGGTTGACTAAGTTTAATGTCATATTGTAGAAAGCTTTATCAAGAGAAGTTAACTCTTGGACCTCAAATTTAAAAACAGAAAAACCAGAGCCAAACATGATTTTAAAAAAGAAATAATATAAAAACAGCTGTTTTTTAGATTGGAGGATTTTAGTTTACAAACACATATCTACTTCTCCCCATTTTTATGTTGGAGATTTGAATGGTTGGCTACCTGTACAAACCATAATACTTATACAAAATGATTTCTCCAAATGATTGTTATTATTTTGGTTCAGAGGCTTACTAATGTTTGGCAAATACCTCTCTCCTTATGTCCTATTTTTTTTGGAAAAGTTAAAATATCAACGAGTGGTATGTTTAAGTAGAAAAGATTTGTCTATATCTTTTGCTCAGGAAACACCAAGTGCTAACTATTTCCTTTTTATCATTCCAATTAATCTTTATGGGTTTTTAAAAAAACCCTCCACTATGAAAACAAATAACTCTCTACAGAATTCTTGCTTTTCTTTAATCGTAAGGCACTTTAAAAGAACAATAGCAAGGGATGTACATTACTCAAATGTCCTTAATATGCAGGTTAATATTTAGAGAAGAGTCTATATATTCCACTATAGGGCCCCAAAGGAATACAGTACTTCAATAATTCCTCTCTAGAAGCACTTTAACTTATCCCTATTGGGGATTTGCTGCCTTTCACTTATGTTAGAAAAATATGTGATTCCTTCACATATGAAGCAGGAATTTGTCCATGTAACCCAATATGTATTTTGAGTGTCACTGGCAGGGTTTATTTCCTAGTTTTGCTATGTGAGAGAATGGAAAGGCATAGAACCTTGTGCACTGGGTGGCTGTCTGTGTATATCTATTTATATGTATGTACTACTGACACTGGTAGTTAATTCAGTAGCAATTTAGTAACTTTGAACATAGGATTGGAAGGGACCTCAGAGGTCTTCTAGTCCAACCCCCTGCTCGAGACCCTATATCATTTCAAATAAATGCTTTTTCAGTCTCTTTTTTGAAAGCCTTCAGTGACAGAACACCCAGAACTTCTGAAGGCAAGTTATTCCAGCAGTTAATTGCTCCCATTATTAGGAAATTTCTCCTTAGCTCTAGGTTGCTTCTCTACTTGGTTAATTTCCAACCATTGTTTCTTGCCTTACCTTTTGGTGCTTTGGAAAATAGATTGACCCCCTCATCTTTATAGGAGCCCCTCAAATATTGGAATAGTGCTATCATGTCCCCCCAGTCCTTCTTTTCATTAGACTAGACATACTCAATTCCTGTAACCGGTTTTTGCACATTTTAGCCTCCAGCCCCCTAATCATTTTTGATCTTCTCTATATTCTTCTTTGTATTGTGGTGACAGCACTGGATGTAAGCATGGTCCAAGTGTCATCTAAAAAGGCTAGAACTTCATCTGATCTTGATTCTATCCCTCTATTACTGCAGCTTAGGACTGCATTGGCTTTTTTGGCTGCTACCACGCCATGTTGGCTCATATTTAAGTAGTTGTCCATTAGGAGTCCAAGATCCCTCTTGCAGTTATTGGCAGTAAGCCAAGTTTCACCTAGTTTATACCTAAGTGTAAAACCTTACACTTTTTTTCTTACCTAAGTATAGAACCTTACTTTTGTCTATGTTGAATTTCATTTTGTTGGATAGGGCCCAGTATTCAAGTCTGAGCTTGTCTTCTGGCGTGTCAACTACTCCTGCCAGCCTACTGTCCTCTGCATATTTGATGAGTTCCCCTTCATTTCCCTTGTCTAGATCATTTATGAAGATACTGAAGAGCATTGGACCTAAAAACTTGGGGTATCCCACTGTTTACTTCCCTCCAGGTGGATGTAGTTCCTATCAGGGTCCTATTGAGTTTACTGTCAATAAATAATAAAATGACCCTTTTTGGTCTGGACCACATCATGAAGACCATGTGAAGCCCTTTTTCTTAACAGCTGGCTTATTCCATCCTCTTAAAGAGAAAAATACACATATGGATTGATTTTCTCTGTTGAAATAAATGGAGCTTTGCAAGCAAAGGATTGGCATACTGGATTACGATGCCCATTATTTCAGTGGATAAAAGTGGTACTATTGTAATATTGGGTTAAATACTTGCACATATGCCCTGAAAAATCACAACTGAAAACAAGGTTAGTTTCCAAGTTATTCTGAAAATGTATGAAGGCTTCTTTTGAAATTACATAAACTATATTTATGGTCTAACCCCACAACTCAGCTATGATCATTGTATGAACAAGTATGTATGTGTCAAAAACAAGATGTTTCTATGAAATTGGAAATTCTGTTTGCTTAAGACCCCCAAATAGGCACACAGCTTATTCATGTTCTGATTACAACTTCTAGTGATCAGAGAGAAGCACGAGCTGAGTAAGAATGTAATTTGACTCATTGCCTCCATGCATTTTTTCCAGAAAAGAGCTGCTATGCTATAGGATGGCAATAATTACAAGTTATTGTAAGTATGAAAGAGGTGCAGTTTCTCAACAGAAGGTGACAATATCCAGGTTATATTATGTAATAGCATGGTTACAACTACTGATTTCTTTAATAAAGTTTTTTTTTCTTTTAAAAAAACACCATGTAAAATCTATAAATAAAATCATAAGTGCTTCATTCAAAAGAAAGCTTCTTTGGTTGCTGTGGGTGCTTTCAAATTACTTAATTTCAGTAACTAAAAAGAGTAAGGTCCCACAATAAGTGTTAACCTTAGTACTGAACTTGACCGATAGTTCATGTTGTTGACCGTCAACAGCTCCAGGTCAATGATATGTTCTCGTGGACCAGTTAATGGCTTGACCAACACAAGCATTGCACTCACTGAGCTTGTTTGCTGAAAGAAAGAAAGGAAAAAATGTTAATGTACAGCCAACGCACCCACAAATAATTTCCCAGGATACGTACTTATGTGAAAATTATTTAGAAAATATATTTCAGAGCTTACACAAGTGTGAGTGCAACTTTCTTTCTTCTACTAATTAAAGCAATCACATCCCTTTTCAGGCTTCAATGTGATCCCGCAAAAAGACACCACTGCTTTAGGTCATTTTAATGACTCTAAAATATGGCTTCCTTAATTAATAACAGATTTGTTACGCTAGCATGAGATTGGAAGCATTTCTTCAAAATCATTGTCAGTGTATATACTCCTATATAGATATTCACACAGAGAGATATAATCTGCATATTGTAATGGTTAAGGTGTTAAACTTAGGACCACCAAGGGCAGGTTCAAATTCTCCCTTGGCCATGGAAGTTTATTGAGAATCTCTGGGTCAGCCCAACATAGATGTGATGGAATGTAGTCTGGATTCCCAGGAGGGAAGGGAAAGCATTCAAGAGGAGTAAGAGGCAATTTAGTTCAGGTGGTTTATGTAAGAGAAAAAAGGTGAAAACAGCCCCTTCCTAATACCTCCCGGAGTATATGCTTGATGTAGGTAGCAGTCTGTTTCAGTTTTGCAAGATTTGTCTATAGGTGTGGGACAATAAAGAAATCTGCTTTAAAGAATCACTGTGTGTTTTCATTTCTGAGATCTGACAACAGAGTTATTTTGTGTTAAAAACGTAGTAAGAAGATAAAACATGTATTATGTCTTTAGCAGTGATCAGATGACACAATGGGACAAAAGAGTTCTTCACAATGAAGCTGTTGATTCTATCCTCTTTAATTTGGCATGTATTATATTTGCTGAATTCCATTTTCAGCATCAAAGAAATTTCAGAAGAACATACAGAATACTTACTCTAAGAAAGAAGTCTCCATTGTCATTTCCAGATTTAATCCGGAAGGTGTTAATTGTATTGGGGATAATTGTGGTTGCCTGAATTTGGAAGATATCAGATGGCACAGTCCTCTCTGAATGGATGCTCATATATTTGTGAACAATGGAATATGGCAAGTCCCGACAAAGAGGATTAGACACTGTACAAATACAGCGACTGTAAAAGAAAGCACAATGATTGAAAAACATCCTTGTTCCATTACAAACTGGTGTTCGGTTTGGAACTCTATTGGTAACTTATTGATTAAAAAAAATCAGAAAATAAAATACAAGCCGAATAGTCAAGATCTTGTTGATGATCCAAGCTCTGTAAAGGACCTTGGAATACTCATCTCTAATGATCTAAGTGCTAGAGCCCACTGTAACTACATAGCCAAAAAGGCATTAAGAGTTGTTAACCTAATCCTACGTAGCTTTTTCTCTGGTAATATCACACTACTAACTGGAGCATACAAAACATTTGCTAGATCAATACTCGAATACAGCTCACCAGTCTGGAACCCACATTATGTATCTGATATTAGCACAGTTGAGAAAGTCCAGAAATATTTTGCAAGAAGAGTTCTCCACTCCTTTACTCGTTGTGGAATACCTTACGCCACCAGACTTGAAATTCTAGACCTAGAAAACCTTGAATTACGCCATCTTCAGTCTGATCTAAGTATGGTATATAAAATCATACATTGCAATGTCCTACCTGTCAATGAATACTTCAGCTTCAATCATAACAACACAAGAGCACACAATAGATACAAACTCAAGGTTAACCGCACCAAACTATCTTGTAAGGAATTGACAAATAAAATAAATAAAATAAAATAAAATAAACAAACTTCCCTTACTTTTCAGATGCAAGCACATAAGGGTCCTGACAAGGATTTCTTGGGTAACAACGATAGCCACCATGATAATTAGAACACAACTCATCTTCTCGACATTCATTGCGTGTTTCACATTCATTTATATCTATATTAGGGAAAAAAAGGAAAAATGTTCTACAATTCTGCTATTTGCAATCTTTGAGTCTGGAGTTGTTCAAACACTTGAATCTACAATTGTCTATGGAAATTCTGAAACATCCAGGTCACAGTTGTCTCAAAGTTGCTTTTCAAAAGGCAACTGAACTTTCCTGGTTTTTTTTTTCCCTTTTCTTTTGATCTCCCACCATTTAGTCAGAACTAAAGAAGCTTCTTGGATGAGAAGCAAAATGTTTCCAAGGGGAAAAAAACCCAGGAAAGTCCAGTTGCCCTTTGAAAAGCATCTTTGAATCTGTAAAATATCTTAGTAGTTAGAGCTTAATTATTTTTTGTAGTCTGCAAACTATCTTCTTAGCCCCTCTTTTGCACATATTGTAGCTCCTGTATGCGGATCATGAAGTACATATAAAAAGAAAGCAGATCTCAGAGATCTAAGGGTTGTCCATCGTTCACCTACTATAGTCTATCTCAGAAATGCAAGGCTTCTTATAGTTATTTTTACATCTATATCGTCTATATTTTTATCTATTTTTAAGTGGAGTTCCCCAACTAAATGGTCAGACTGTACTTGATTTCTCCTTGCTCCTTCCCATCCCAGATTTTTGCAGTCTTAAACAAATGAACAACTAAGGTTTTCAATATGCTGTAGGAGAGCAGTGGTTTATGTTGATTGCACATTTTTGCCAGGCCTGGTTTAAATCAGGCATTTCTTAGGTGAATTTTATTTTATACAGGGATGTCAAGCTTGCATTATTATGTCACATGACATATCACAACTCCCCCCTCCCTTGCTAAAATGGGCGGGGCATGGCCAGCGCATGACGCATCCCTCCTACGGGCTGCGAGTTTGACAGCCCTGATTTTATATTACAGAGAGAAAGTTTTGTGTTAAGCAAAGATTTATCACTTGTATGATTTGATTTTTTAAAAAAATAGTGTTAATATTATCATTACTTTTGCAGATATGTGAACTTACCTTGACAGTTTCTTCCTCTGACCAGCTGGTATCCATCTGGACACGCGCAGGAGAATCTTCCTGGCTCATTGACACACTGATATTGGCACAGGAAGTTAGAAGCTCTACATTCATCAACATCTGCAAAACAGAGGCATTTTCTAAGCCAGTTATTGAAGGTTCAGCATCTGCTTTTACACTGAAATTGTTCCTTGGCTATTATCTTCGATACTTGGGCTGCAAAATACAAATGGTTCTTCCTTCCTTCCTGCTTTCTGACAGTTTTTGGAGGGAAATTGCATCTGCCTGCAAGAATGAGGTGTACGAACAGAAATAGAATCACTACTACCAAGTAGAAAGCAAAAAGAGCTTTCAAAGAGCAAGATTTTAGTGAAAGAATCAGCCTTCTAAAATCTTTTTTTAAATTGTGAAAGTTTGCCAGAGAATGTGAGCCTAATGTATTAATCTGGCTGACACAATATTTTAAGCCATGATATGGATTGTCTATTTTTGGACATATAGTATTGTGGGAGCTCAGCACAATGTTAATGGGAAAATCAATGTGCAGAAGTGGTCTTTTTTCTACTTGCTTCTAACCCATTTTGCTCATGCTTTAATTTCTTTGCCATGGAAGAATTATTCTTCCCTAGGAGATAACACGTGGGAAAACTCCAAGATGCACCAAAATTATATTTCTGAGAATTCTCAAGTGGTGATTCCTGGGAATTCTGGAAACTGTAATTTCAACATGTGTAGAGTTGTTTCCAGATTAGTGTCTATCTTCCATGGCCATTGAAATCATAGCATGAACAAATTAGGTTATAAGACTCCAGTGTACTTCCCTTTGCTTGTATGTGATAAGAGATATTACTATTGTCTAAAGAAGGCATTAAAGCTTCTGATTAGGAAGAAGAAATAAAGCCGCAAGATACTTTCTTTACACATTACTAACAGTGAACATATTCTATTCAAAAGGTTCCTTCCCATCCCTGTTTTTGATAACTTCTTCAAACTAAACAGCTACTCACCATCACAGCTGATTCTATCTGGGCTTAACTCAAAGCCTTGATTGCACTGGCATAAGAAAGAACCAACTATATTATAGCACAGTTGGGCACAGGGGTTGCCGGTCTCACACTCATTTATGTCTGAGAAGAAAACAAGAAAATGTGGCATTTTTATCTTTTCTTGAACCATTTTAGAGCATATTCACCATATTCTTTGTATACTATCCATGCTTGTTCACTTCAAATCAATTTATGTGGACAGGGAATGCAACTCCAGCCTCTCAAGTTTGGACTATTTTTTCTGCTTAGTTTTGCTCCATACCACAAATAAAAATGGCTAGCTATTTTATTCATACAAACAGTGGCTTATATAATTAGAAATAAAGTTGATCCTAGTGCTTTATGGATCTGAATAGCTTCAAGCATAGCATTGAGGAGGTTCCCCTGCAGTTTGATAGTTAATGTCATTGTTACAATGAAACTTCCCATTTCATTTAGCACTCAGAAACAAAGTTCATCCAAGTAAGAAATTATTAAAGAAGTCATATTGGCACATCTGGGAAAACCTGAATCTGAGAGTTCCGGGTTTTCCCTCCATAATTGAAAATCAAAACCCATCCCCTGCACCCACCAGTCCATCACATGGTCCAATCACCCATCGTTCCAACTGAAGACATTCCTCCAACCACTCCTTTCTAGGTGCAGAGTAACTTGTCCTTGACTTTATGAGAAGAATGTTGTTATGTCTAAATTTCCTCCTCTCATGAAATCCCCCCTCCCAAATGCCCAAGTACTAAGATGTGGCAGGTTGGAAGCTTCTAAGTAAAATATGGCTTCTAAAGCTGACAGTTTCATTGCATAGCGAACTACTGGCAACAGAAAATAACCAGGGCTGATGAGTGTACCTCAGTGGTTTTTCACTGCACCCCAGTTTTCTGTGGTTTATTGGAGATGAAGCACCAAATATGATACCTAAAGCAATGATGGAGGAACACAAAACCCAAAGCTGACTGAGCATGGGTACCTGTCACGCCCAAAATTGACACAAGCCCATATTCAAGTCAAACTCTGTGGTTGGAGGAGAGCCAAAAGCTTTTCATTTTCTTCCTTTAGTGTGGTAGTGGGCTGTTGATCAGCAGTTTTGTTATGATTTTGAGCTCCTTTCTTAGGAAAAGTGAACAAAGTTTTTTTCTCTGTCTCCCTAGTCTATCACCAGTTTGTCCAATGTTTAGCTGAAATAATCACTTAGATTTGCTCTATTTTGATTCTTCTTGGGCAAGGTCTACAGTAGAACCTCTAGTCATGAACGCTTCTGATCGTGACCAAATCGGGTTCCAAAAAAACATTCACATTTCCCCCCCCCCGCCCCCGCAGCCTATTTCCCCTTTTTTTACCGTTTTTTTTGGTAAACGCCGAATTTACAAAATTAGGTTCAGGTGACGACCAAATTGGGTTGCGATCAAAGTTATGGAATGATTTAAGGTTGTGACCAGGGGTTCTAGTGTATATGGAAATTGACATTCCCACTAAGTAGACCATGCCAGGAAATGAACACCACAGGAAGACTAAAGATTGGATAGCAGATTGAATAACAGAACCTTATAAAGTCTGATTGTTCTTTACCTCATCCTCCTTCTTATACATCACTGAATTAAAGAGGCATGTTCCTGAGCTGCTTCCAAATGTTATGTTGTTGTTTAGGCTTAAAAAATGTTTCAGCTTCTTTTGCCTCGGTAAAGATACCTTAATATTTTTGTCAGATTTCTTCCTTATTCTCTATAAAGGCTGAGATATCATTTGTGGCATTGGCTGGGACTCCTTTTGGCCTAGTAGGTTCTGATAAAATGGCCAAGACACTATGTAGTATACACTCTGCCATTCATGGCTATATCTGTGCCTAATTTGGATCTTATAGGGGACAGAGGGAACATGATGGTGCTTGTAGCCTGAGGAAAAAGTTATGATGTGTCCCCTCCCTTTAGGGGCCCTCACTGGATGCAGCCAATCTGGATAATTAAAAACCAGTTTCCAACTTTATCTTTTGGGGAAAAGTTATTGAAAGATAGGAATTTAGTCTACAACAGGGGTCTCCAACCTTGGCAACTTTAAGTCTGGCGGACTTCAAGTCCCAGAATTCTGGGAGTTGAAGTCCGCCAGGCTTAAATTTGCCAAGGTTGGAGACCCCCTGGTCCACAAAGCACCATGCTACAAGAGGATTAGCTAGATGCTTTTTAGTTAGGACTCACCACGGAGTGGAAATGGCATTGGGTACCCTAAGGATCAATCTTTGTTGGGATTTAGATGCAAGTAGTGTTCTTGTTCTATTCATTCTAGATTATCAATGGCATTGATATTACTGACCACTGCATCATTTTTTTACCACCTGCCAGCAGTGGGGATTGGAGGCAATGATTTGCAATGGCTCTGTTCTTTCTTTAGTGGATGCTTTCACTCAGTGGTGATAAGAGGAAGAAAGGACAGCCACATGGCTTCTCTCTTGTGTGATATAGCAGGATTTTGTCATTTCCCTATTGTTTAATATCTACATGAAGTTACTGTGGGAGGTCATAAGTTGGATTTGATATTGGTGTAATGATTAAGGCAAAAGGCTAGAAACTAGGATGCCATGAGTTCTGCCCTTGCCGTAAGCACAAATCCGAGTGACCTTGGGCCAGTCATTATTTCAGCCTCAGATAGAAGACAATGACCAATCACTTCTAAAATATTGCCAAGAAAACTGCAGGAAACCTTCTAGGCAGCTACCAGGAGTCGTCACTGAAAGCACAAAAACACAAAACCCTTTGTCTGACCTGGTGATCTGTCCCAGTGTCAGGAGGTTGGCAGGAACTAGACGGAATGAAACAACCAAAGTTGAACCCAAGCAAAATGAAGTCTAACCAAGTTTCTAATTAGTTTAGTGATGTCTCTTGCGGGAGAGGCATTAACACGAGGATGAGGTCCGTGACCTGGGGTTTTCTCTGGATTTGCAATTACTGCAGTTGGGAGCTGTAGTCTGGAAAGTGTTTGCTAAGCTCTGGCTGGGCACTGATTATTCCCTTTTCTGAAGCATGAAGACTAACAGTAATTCAAGCCCTCATCATCACAGGCTTAGATTACTGCAATATAAACTTGAAGACCACGAGAAGCTACAATTGATTCAAATGGAAATGCTTGCTTAATGGGAGATATTGAT